GGGGGAGGGTTGGGTGGGGGAAGGGAGAGTTGGGAAGGAGAGGGGGGAGAGGGAGGGAGAGAGAAAGGCAGACAAACAAGTAGACAAACTGCGTCTCTTTGTCTTTCTCATCATCTCCCGCGCTTTGATTCCCAGTGAGGGGAAGGAAAGGGAGAGAGGGAATCTGAAACAAATCTTACGCTATCCATAAAGTGACGTTATCTCTTCGAACCAAACGTTAAAATATCTGCATGTCAGCCACACCTGTCTTTTTTATCAATGTTTACTGGATGGCGATATATCATCCCCCATTCAGAATACCGACGTATGATTAACGAAAGTATCATAGACTTGGTTAAATTTATCAGGAATATAAAATATACATCTGGTGCCAGGAGGAGCATACCGCACACATATAAAAAGATAGAAAGGAAAGGATAAGGAACATCAAAATTGTCCACACATCATCGAGAAACGGAAAACAGCCGAAGACAATTTTTTTCACACAACTTGAACTTATAGTATTTGCAGAAAGCGGTTCATCGTAATTAGAAAGAGAGAAAAAGAAAAATGGTAGTTGAGACCACGACCAGTTCGCTCCCTTTCGTCAACGGGAATTTGCTAACGCTGAACCTTGCAAACGCCGCTCGCTTTGCCACGAGAGGGAACGTCTCGTTACCCAGGAATTACGACCGCTACAGTGAGGTAATGATGGACTTTCTAAGGGTTTCGTGTGGCCTTTTGGTGTGAGTTGCATTTTCCAGATACTGAAAAGGTGTTGCCCGTGTGAGAGACAATGAAAGTTAATATACAGAAAAAAATATATGTTTAAACGCGCGCGCGCGCGCACACACACACACACCACACACACACACACACACACACACACACACACACACACACACACACACACACACACACACACACACACACACATCTTTTTAAATATATATTTACTTATTGAAATATATTAGTGGAGCTAACGCCAACGGGGGCACATAGCCGCATCCACCTCGCTTCCAGCCACGAGGGTCCCTCATGGCAAGCCACCAGACAGGTCCTTGTCCCATCTCTAACTTCTCACAACAGTTTTCATCAAGCTGCCAAGGCCATGACTTCCTAGGTCCTACAGTGCTCCTTAACACAAAGTTATCTTGTGAGACAACCTGGTGGGCAAGATCACCCATCCCAAGCAAGCAAGGTGCCTGTAAAGCCTGCCAACTATAGCCCATGATCCAGCCCTAGGATCTATTACAAAGGACATCAAGACGAAACTCCAAGGCACAGGGTAGTGTTTATGTTTCCCTACCATGAACTGGCTGAACCAGGGCCTTAAAGACACATAACTTGGTCCTTTTGGACAGGTACTGGCATCTTCAAATACTTTTGTCAGCTGAGCTCATGGCACCTGTTGCCAAGCCAAGCTGTCTTTTGACATCGTAATTTGACAGTCCAGAGTCATGCATTACACTACCAAGGTATGTAAAGATCTCTGTGACTTTACTGTCACTGGATCTTGGTCCAAGATATATCTATGCCCAAGGCCTTCACCTTATTGCTAAATGCATCTAGAGATTCCAGAAACTCAGGATAGGAGTATCAGCAAAGTCAAGGTGGGTGACCTTCATATTGCCCAGGGTTGCACCATAATGACTTTGGATTGTAGCCTACCCATTATTCAGTCCATGCAAGTTAGTGCAAGGACACAACCCTTTCTCATTCCTGAACTAATACGAGAGGAGATAGACAGGGCCCCACCATGCTTTACAGGACTTCCAGTACCAGTATGCAGGCTTGCTATTAGTCTAATATACCTTGTTGGATTATTAGATTAATAGTGATCCACAATGACTCAAAGCTGTATGATACAGTCTAGTGTGGATTACCAGACTACTCTGGCGTCTGGTACCTTAGTAGGTGATGTCTAATAAATATGTGAGAGAACCTTGCTTGGTATACTGAGCAGTGTGATGCCATATTTGCTGCAGTCCTGTTGATTTGTTGGTCCTTATTCATCTATGCCCCTATGGGAGCTTGCCATCTAGAGATTACTCTAGTCTGACCTTCATATTGCCCATGCACCATAATGACTTTGGATTCCTAGTCAGTTGCAAGTTAGCAAGGACACAACCCTTTCTCATTCCTGAACTAATAAGAGGAATAGACAGGGCCCCACCATGCTTTACAGGACTTCCAGTACCAGTATGCAGGCTTGCTATTAGTCTAATATACCTTGTTGGATTATTAGACAATAGTGATCCACAATGACTAAAGCTGTATGATACAGTCTAATGTGGATTACCAGACTGCTCTGGCACCTGGTACCTTAGTAGGTGATGTCTAATAAAAATGTGAGAGAACCTTGCTTGGTATACTGAGCAGTGTGATGCCATATTTGCTGCAGTCCTGTTGATTTGTCCCCTTCCAGAGAGGGATGACCATGCCCCTCAATTGGACCAAGAGGAGTGGTACTGGACCACCAGATGCCAATCAAGACATCATGCAAACCCCACACTATAGGTTCACTACCAGTTTTTAGCATATTAGAAGGAATACTGTAAATGACTACTGTTTTGCCACTCTTCAGCTCAGAGTTTGCCTCCCAAATCTCAATCAGGGTATTAATGTTTGTTGATGGGTGGATCCAGCACATGGATCTTGACACCACTGATATCCAACCTAGCTGTTGGATAGATAGGGAGGCTTTGAAATGGACCTGAAGGATAGCCATGAACAATCTATAGTCAATATATTAAAATTTAGCACTGAAATCCTTGCAGTTCAGAAGGATACACCACTGAGTTCTAACAGGAATGTGGTTATTCTCAATTCTCAATCTTTGTGACCTAAGAAAGTTGTACAGGAGGCTATTTTCACTGCTTGCATTACCTTCCACACCATAGAGATCAATCACATTGAAAACTCAATGTTAATATATCTTTGGAGTCAGTTGTCAGCTATAGATGTGAGTTTGGTTTATGTATGTGTATGTATATGTATATAAATAAATAAATATATATAATATATATATATATATATATATATATATATATTATATATATATATATAATATTATACACACACACACACACACACACACACACACACACACACACACACACACACACACACACACACACACACACACACACACACATACACACACATACACACTCACACTCACACTCACACACACTCACACTCACACACACTCACACTCACACACACACACACACACACACACACACACACACACACACACACACACACACACACACACACACACACACACACACACACACACACACACACACACACACACACACATATACAGATATATATATATATATATATATATATATATATATATATATATATATATATATATATATATATAATATATATACATACATATACACACACACCACACACACACACACACACACACACACACACACACACACACACACACACACACACACACACACACACACACACACACACAAACTTTTTTTGTGTGATTGCAGGTATTTAAGGAAGGTTAATTAAAAATGGAAGGAAGACAAAAGATATGCATACTTAAATGTATAAATTGTGGAAAGAATTGATAATGGATACAACAGTGAATTATCTAGAAAAAGGACAACTTTCATAAAATGTACAGAAAATTTCCATATGGCATAGAAAAAATTCTTATGCTTGCACCATTATTTTAGGCAGATAAGCTGATAGCTGTTTCCTGTTGTAGCAGTTTCTTTGACTTTACAGTGTACCCATTTTTGTTATTTTTTTGTGGAGTGTGAAAACCAAACATGATACAAGCATATTCCCCACAGGTGTTTGGTCACCAGAGGTCTCCCTCCATGGAGTTCAAGGAGCTGACAAAGAAGGATGCACAAGTGCAGCTAGCACATGAATTGCAGAAGTTGACAAACACTTGCCAGGCTCACCTCAAGGAGACCACACAGAAGGATTTTGAGGGCTTTGAAAAGCTCTTTAGCCGTTTTATCAATGAGGTTGGACCATCAGTTGAATGGGATAACATCCAGAAACTACATGATGGAGCTGTAAGTATGGACCATTATTCATATTTATTGTCTGATTCATAAAAGTAATGCATTTAATTCATGTTTATGAAATTAAGTTGCTACAGATAATGATAGTTTCTCAGGTAGTTGGTGGCAATAGTCATGATTTTGAAGATAAAAGGAAACAACATCTTGATAAGTTCAATAGAGTACTTTCTATCACTGTTTTGTTTTATTATTTGTTCTTATGCGAGGTGATTAATTAGCAACTTACACTGCAGGTACGGAAATATTCTGAGCTATGTGGACCAGATTCATCCCATGCTCGAGACATGCTCAACAAGTTAGTTGTGGTGAAGTTGAATGGTGGCCTGGGTACATCTATGGGATGTCAGGGTCCAAAATCCATCATCCCTGTGCGCTCAGAATTAACTTTCCTTGATCTTACTGTACAACAAATTGAAGTAAGTTTTACTTTCGTAAATAGTTTTGTGTGATTTATGACTCGTATTTTCCTCACATATTGCTTCCTCTTTTGTTAGTTCCACTTACTATAATCAACACATGAATGTTCTCTATAGTTGAATAAATGCAGATAATTGTGGGATGAGTTATGTTATATTGTCATCCTGTATTATTAGAATGAATATGTATCTTTAAAATAATAAAACCATATACAAGAATATAAAGAAGTTTACAGTTTATAGAATATCATTCATAAAACTAGTTTGTGTGTTTTGCAAATTCTTTTGAATTTGAAATATTATTGGTCCCAGAACACTCTATGTGATCCCTTATGTATTTTGATTTTTAGTGAGAATTAACATTTTCATTCATGTACAGGTTTTTATTTTCCTTGATTTTTTTTTAATGATATTTTTAAAGATATCTAAAATCATACATTTTTTTCTCATCATTGTTTAGCACCTGAATAAGCAGTATGGCTGTGACGTGCCTCTTGTACTGATGAACTCCTTCAACACTGATGAAGACACACAGAAAGTCATCCGCAAATATCAGGGATTTCAGGTGAGGAAATAAGCTGCTAGCCACAAATGATGGTAGTTGAAACACAGGTACAGTTTAACAGTGAAATAATACTAACAAGACAGTTGTTTGTTCAAATATCGCATGATACAGAATAATAAAATCATAATCAATAAGAAGCTGAGAGTCTGTAAATGACAAGATGTTTATAATAGAAATAGGATAGCTAGGTGACAGACACAGGATAGGCAAGACCAGAAATTAAGGAAGAAGTTAAGGAAAGAAATCCATTTATATTTAAGGGGAAGACCTGGAATCACTTTTGTTTTGTATTTGATACTTTTGAAGTCATAAGTACTGTTCATTATTAGAGCTGTATTTAAATCACTCCAGATCACATATCCAAGAACGGATCAGTGGCCTTACCATATGTTTATGCTAATTGAAAGTAACCATCATGTCTACAAAGTATTCTATTGTTTATTAAAACATACAAATAATCTTATACTAATTATTTAATTGTATTTATTGTTTTGTTTAATATAATTTTGATAGATGTGGAACCACTATTTTTTGCCTTCCAGGTAAAAACATACACGTTCAACCAATCTCGGTACCCACGTATCAATAAGGAATCTTTGATGCCAATTGCCAAGACTTGCAGCATTGAATCTGATTTGGAAGCGTAAGTCCAAAGAGTTGATCTCTTAACCCATTGAACACAGATGGTATTTTTACATGACATTTCCCCTACAATTTTATTTTATTAATTGTTTGGATAGAGATGGCTCCAAAAGTGGTTATTCACCAAGGAGTCAATTATTAGTCTTACATATCTCTCCTGCTAACGCTTTCCTTGATATCGGGATAGAATCTTTTATATTATGTTACTATTTTTATTGTTTTTAGTATTTTTATAATATTATAAGTCATAATAACAATAATAACAGTATCAATATTAATAGCTTTTGAAAAAGTGTATATTTTCCCGCGGATCCAAGGAATAGGGGTTACGGTCAGTAGGGCCTACTAATTGACTACTTGATGGTTGAGCATATGTGGAGCCATCTGGGTGCAACAAAATTTACAAAGACAAGAGAGGAGAGTACACAACCACTAATATGGTTGCGATGATGTTTGCTAGCACTGAATGACAGATGAAATTCATGGAGAATGTGATAGGCCTTGTGTAATAGGCATCCTAGTATCGAATAAAAAAGAAAATTATAGCATTCCTCTCTAAAGATCATTATTGGCAATGACAGTGTTATATTATGATCTGCAGATGGTATCCTCCTGGTCACGGTGACTTCTATCAATCATTTAAGAACTCTGGACTTTTGCAAGAGTTCATCAACCAGGTAAGGATGATTTTTTAAACATTTGAACGATTTTGTTTCACAGATGTAACCAATTAATTGCCACCATTTTATTTATCAATTGTTTTTCATATGTATTTCCAGACATACATTCCTTCCTTTCTTTTATATATGTATTTAATTTTGTATCTTGTTGTTTTCTTTTTTTTTCTTCATTGTTGCTTTATTTATCATCTGTTGCTTCTCCTGCTCCTTTTTTCATTCCTCCTCTTCCTGCTCATATTATGTTCCCTTCTAACTTGTTTTCCACCCAGAGATGAAGTTTGTGAATAAAAGATTTTTTGTCTTTCATTTACAGGGCAAAGAATATGTCTTTATCAGCAACATTGACAACTTGGGAGCAACAGTTGATCTCAACATTCTCAACTTCCTTCTTGGTGGTGACAATAGTGGACACTGTGAGTTTTTGATGGAGGTTACAGACAAGACAAGGGCTGATGTTAAGGTAAGTGTTTTATATAAGTAGAGAAAGGTATGAATGAGAATTAATATCTTCACAATACAAGAGATATATTTAACTTGTTTAGAATATATCTGTCAGAAATACATGTAAATTTCTGACGAAGATATATTAAAATATTCATTCTCTTTCAAACCTTCTCTATATTTATTATCATGAATACGGTTCATGTAAGCCTTATATTTGTATTACAGTGATATGACATTTATATATGTATAATAGCAGCACTACAGGAGATATATGTTTAATGCCATGATTTTGGTGACTCTTCCAGGGTGGTACCTTGATCCAAATAATAAGATTGAGATTGCCACCAAAGGAGCATGTTGACGATTTCAAGTCTGTCAAGACTTTCAAGATCTTCAACACCAATAATTTGTGGATTAAAATTGACGGTAAGGAAGTCAGCATGAGATTTTTCCTTTCATTTGAACCAAACATATGAATAAGCAAAGCTTGTTTTTTTTTTCATCTTTAATTAATTTCTTGCTAGTCTTGTTTCATTTAGTTCCAGCACTTTTTCTCTAGGTCTTCATAAATGGCTGTTATTCAATGTTTATTCTACATGTGATATTTTGTCAGGGGGTTAATGATTTATTGCAAATGCATGGTAATCTATGTATGTAGATATCAAAGTTGATTAATCTATAAAAGATGTGTCTTAATATTCCAGCAATTGACCAAATTCTAAGCGAAGGCACAATGGACATGGAAGTAATTATAAATAACAAGACACTTGATAATGGTTTCAACATCATTCAGTTGGAACAGGCTGTTGGTGCTGCCATAAAATGCTTCAATGGATCAATTGGTAAGTTCTAGAAGCTCCTATTATGATTTGGATTCCTTATAGTCATTGTAACCAATTACAGTAAAGTATAAGGCTGAAACTTGACTAGAGTCCCAGTTTTTACAAGCTTTTAACTTACTCTGCTTAAACAGGTATCAATGTACCTCGCTCAAGGTTCTTGCCAGTGAAAAAGACAGATGACCTGCTGCTAGTTATGAGCAATCTTTACAATCTGCAGTATGGAACTTTAGCCATGTCACCCCTACGTATGTTTGATACTACACCACTGGTCAAACTTGGCCCCAACCACTTTGGCAAAGTTAAGGTTAGTTACTTCACCACTGCAAAGTCTTCTATATAGCATTAATTTAGAGTATAGTTGCTGCTATGTTGTTTTATTACTATTGTGTGATCTATCTATACTTTGTTTGGAAACAGCTTGAAATCATTACTCAATATAGGGATGTCAGTTCTCTCCTCAAATATACATTTTCATTTTTTCAGGAGTTCCTTAAAAGGTTTGCTTCAATTCCTGATATGTTAGAACTGGATCACTTAACTGTATCAGGCGATGTGACATTTGGCAAAGGAGTTGTTCTTAAGGTTGGTTAATGTGATATGCCACTTTTATTGTATTTTGTATAATGATTTTATGTAAGAATTTGTGATAGAATTTGTGATAATTAATAGCAAATATTCAGAAGAGACAAAATATACATGTGTATGTGTGCGTGTGTGCATGTGTTCATATATGTATATACACACATTTGAAATTTAGTGGAAGATGAAGTAAAATGAAATTAATAAATAATGATTTCCTTTTCCCTTAGGGCACAGTGATCATCATAGCCAACCACGGAGATCGTATTGACATCCCTCCAGGTGCCATCTTGGAAAATAAAATTGTCTCTGGAAACTTGCGAATTTTGGACCATTAGACAAGCCCAGAATTGCGAACCTATTCTTTCCAATTTTTTTCCTTCCATTTTCATGTTATGTATTGTAAATAATGTTCTTGTTAAAATGCAATGAGAGTTGATTTATGATATGATGATAACATGAATCTTTTATGAAACATCACTGCTGTTTGGTTTGTAAAAGCTTTTATCACATTGGTTGTTTTTTGCAACCACTCTTCACACACACACACACACACACACACACACACACACACACACACACACACACACACACACACACACACACACACACACACACACACACACACACACACACACACACACACACACACAGGCACATATTGACACATATGCACATTGTGTATATGATTTTCCCATTATTATATTTAGTTTCTGTGATGTGGTCTAGTAGCAGTGAGTGCCAAAATTCAGTGCAATAACCTCATGAATCAAAAAGGGCATTGATCATAAAATGTGAATACTATCATGCATTTAAAAAAAAACTGTAGTTGTATCTGACAACAATGATGTATTACACATTGCACAATGGTTAATAAAGATGCATTTCGTGTCTGAATGGCTGATGTGGCATTACCCTATTTCTCATATAGAAGAGAATATAAATTATCAAGTTCAAATTCTGTGAAATTAAAAAATAACAATATGATCAACTGGCAGAAACCCCCCCCATTGAACTGGCTTTGTGCAGGTTGTCTTGTATTTCCAAAGGGATTAAAGCTACAAAGAACATCTATTAGTGATGTTCTTGCAGTGTTATTTGAATGGTGTAATATTTTTTATAGCTGATTTTTATTGAAATGAATTAATTTTGGCAAGTCTATTTTGTAATTTTATAGGACCTTAAGAAATTATAATCTCACTCTGTTGTCATTACAGATTAGAAGGTCATTAATTAGAAAAGACTGGAAAAGGTAAAATATTTTTTTTACAATATTTAAAATTATAGAATGATTTATTAAATAGACTTAGTGTGCTGTCTGTTGTATGAATTTGAAAAATGGGGATTCGCCCAATATTCAAGTATTGAGTGTTAATGCTTATGTCAACTTTGCTCAATAGAGATATAGCTGCATCCACATGATGGGGTTGCATGGCTACGGCAGGAAGAGCAAGTTAAAATTGGTCATCAGGTTGCCGCAACTTTGTGAGCAACCAGTGAAATGCTTGTTGTTAAATAAAAGGCCCAGGAAATGGTCTAGAGTTTCCAACCACAATGATCTAAGCTGCTGATGCTGTAGATAATCTGCAATAACTATTCAAATACTGGCTACTGGCTACTGCAAGGCATTTCAGACTAATTATCGACTCAGTCTTGGTGTGAACAATTGTTAACGGGTAATCATTGGGCATGCCAATCATGTGGATGTGTCTTTATGATGCATAAAAGTGATTATGAAAAAAATATAAATATAAATAAAATTGCCTTACTGGTTGTT